TGCTTTTTGTCGAGATCAACTTATTCGGAAGGTTGCGCGAAGGGGAAATTTTAGGGACGAACTATCAACAAATATGATAAGCCAGGGATTTGCAAGGGCGTACTTGCCGCGGCGAAAAAAATGTATAAGGAAATAAGAAGCAATGGGAGAACTATTGAGGTCGTGCTAGCCATCTATATCGGCCGTCCTAACACACTCATTAGCGTCGACTCAATTCCTCGCTATAACTGAACGGTACTTACGAGTTCCGGACGTGCCCGCATCGCTTCGTTGCAGCTCAGCTTGGGATGAAGCGAAGTTATTCTGCAGGCTGTGAATGCTGTTGTAAGCTTTGTTAAAAAATTCTGTCTCTTTCGTCCCTTTTTTTTTGGGGGGGGGGGGGGGGGGATGGGGAGGGGGTATAGTTTGCAGTTGGGGAGGAACTTCGAGACGCCTGAAAAGTTGTACGTTTTCCGTGACGTAATACATAAATATGAATCGCTTCAGTTTCTCGCGGCCGCCAAACACGACGAAAAAAGTGTCTGCGGGCGTGGCACAGGCATTGTTCCAAGGACGTCACTTTTATAAAGATGTACGCTTCGAAGATGTCTGCAAAATTTTGTTTTACACAACCAATGTGACAAGACAGTAATACGAGGAAAAATGCACTCCTCAGAGAGTCTTCAGACTGTCTTGAGTACGATGTATGTCAGCCACCGCTGCCTAACCAAACGTTGCAGCGCCACCTGTGCTCACACAGCTTTGCAAGGATGACGCAGCACGCAGTCGAATTTTTTCTAGAGATATTGTTGGAGCTCGACGTTGCCAACTTGGAAATTAAGATTGGGACTCACGTGTTAACGCCCCGATCGTTACAATGGCCACCGAAACATGGCACGTGCTGGGAGCCATGTAGCTCTCTGGCTGAATGGTCCCTTTTTTAATTTCAAACTGTTCGTATGTGCACGTAATAATTATTACATAGGAAAACCTTGGCGCAGAATTGTCTGCGCCACTTACGCGAGGCCAACAAAAGGCAGATTGAGGGCTGTGCGTATACTCGCGTTGCCCCTGATTGAACACGAGCTAAGCCGAACGCCAAACGACGCATCACGCATTCGCGTTTGAGTGCGATCGATCGCGTTGTAACCACTTATGCCCGAGTTAAGGCCTGTTCATGGAGGCAGCGGAGCTCTATTGGCGACGTGAGCGATCGAAAGCGTCGCTGTGGTCGGCCTGCCACGATTGGGCGAATGCTGACAATGACGTCAGCAAAGGATTTCTCATCGACGGAAATAAGAGGAATCTAAGAACTGCAATTTTGACGGTGTTGGGAGTGTCTCTTTGAGAGCGCTATGATTTCAGGCTTCCACCGTGCCCATTACAAACACCATCGAACTTCTTTTTCACAAGGTAATGACGTCACGAAAGGTAACCGAACGAGGGCGCCACCGAAGCATCTCGCCGCTAATAGCACAACACTGACTTTGCGCTAAGCGCGTTCTGACAGGAGCGTTTACAATGGCTTTGTATGGCACCGTTAAAGCGGTTGCTCATGGCAGACGATAAGTATAGGTTACGGCACGTGAACAGCGCTACATCAGCGCTTCGCTGCATGTGAAAACCGGTCCTTAGAGCAACAAACAGAAGCATTCGACCCGACAAGTCTCCAACACGAGCAGCTTGCGCTCGATGGTACCTAGCTTTGGCAGGCTTGCCATCTCTAAGTACTCGTGAAGCAAACGCGAGTGATTGTAAGCCTGCCAAATGCTACTTTCGCGTGCACGCTGCACGGGCTTTAGGCTTGTCGGTCTCATTTGCTTCTGTTTATCGCTATAGTTAAAGGACCGGTGTAACGATATTCAATTGGAATGTTTTTCACTTGACACGAGCTTACTGGCACACCTGGGACTCAAGGATACTCACACGCAACGCCACTGGCCAAGAAACTCCTTTGTTGCGGTGTAATTCCAAGGACAAAAGCGATCATTTTCATTCAATCTCTCCTTTGCAAAATTGATGACTTAACGTGGGGATCGCAGTTCACCCAAGTGACGATATTTGAATGCGGTTCATAGATTGGACCCGAGCATTGCGTGGGCACTCGACTTGAGCTCGTGACAATTGCTAGCTCGAGAAGCATTCGGGTAGTGACCCGTGTCCAATCGCTGCAATGACGACAACAGCCGAGCCATAACAATTTTTGGAACTCAGCGCGTGTCCTGCGCTTTGCCAACCCCTGCGCCTGGCTGTGATCAACATTGGTGGCATATGGCATATAATCGGCTCCAGATCATGTGGCCGCTTGTTCTGGCTGCGAGTTGAGGGGGTGAACGCTGCTCGTTTTTCTTTAATTTTTTTCTGGGACTTCTATTGGCGTGGGGTGAAAAACGAACGCGTGTTTCATAGGTCATTAACATTAGGGATCCGTTTTAAGCGGTATTTGCGCAAAGTACAAAAATTGTTGCATCGCTCCTTTAAAGCAACATGGATCCTGGGAGAGTAGCACCAAGCTCCCGGTATGGTCACAATTTCGTTTCATGAAATGATAAGTTTCTTCTACATTTCTCCAGTCTTGGAAGCCGATCTAAATTCGTTGGTCACGAGTAGCTTTAGGGAGATATTTTTCGTACGACGTTTTAAGGGCGCGCCGGATTACAGCCGCCCATGGCTGATCTTCTCTTCTCTTACCGAGATGCCGAGCCACGGAAACGGGCGTGAACGAGCATCCACAAAGGTCATTGCTGGAAAGACAGACATGGTAGAATCTAATATGACAATGAACTAGCCTGCTGCGGTAATAATGGAGTGAAGTAAACGAAATAAGAGCGAACAAAAAGTGAAGGTCGATTCTGGCGGCGCCAATGCACTGCCGCTTAAAAGCGCCTATGCCGAGATTTCGCTAACCATATACAGGCGAAACAAGTGTACATTTTAGCGCCACCACATGCAGCGTCGGTGCTTCGAGGCATTAAAAAATAACTTTTTTTTCTCTCAAAATACCATGTCCTCTTTTTAAGAGACACGTGGAGAGAAGCCCGATTGATCATTTGTTTGCATGCCCACTACCAAATTCGCTCACAGTGCCGAGAAACGCTTTCAGTACGATGATACCCCGTGGTAATATTCACGCGACTGGTTCCGAACGACCTTTTCGAAGCTTCGAAGATTAAAATGGACCGAAATGGCGATTACCATGGCAACCGAGTCATGCGTGATTTTGTCGTCTGTGTGTTAGTATTTGTTCGTGTCCGGCGAACGGGCAGAGAACGCAATGGCACTACTTTTCCAAAGTACAGTTACTTTAGCTCTACTGGGATTCGGGTCTTACGATGAAAGTACGCGCACAGTCGGCATCACAAAGCACACCCGAGCCAGCAGTTTATGCACTATTATTTCATCGTGTCCTCGGAGTAATTTCGACCTTTTATTATAATCTCCGATGGATAGTGCCTAGATTTGATTCTGCAAATACTGCCAAACCCTTAATATAGTTACACGCAGATGGAAAGTGTTCAAGGTGTACCTGATGCATCTCGCCAGTGCCGGTATGTGAACATCTAGGTTGATGGCCCAGTCAGTTAAACGTCTCAAAAACAGCGCGAAAGATACAAGGACGAGTAGAAGACTGGACACGAGCAGGTTGGGAGTAACGCTGGTCCTGTCGAGCCTTTCACTCGTCCCGGTGCTTCACGCTTAATGTTCCTGTGATGCCGGTATATGTTCGCTTGCCCTGAACGGTAGGGAGCAGTTGCAAAACGGCCTTCCACGACGGAAGCATGACGGAAAACCGCGCACTCTCGAGGGGCACTGGAAAAGGGTTTTCCAAGTTAGAAACCTCGCGCTGGAGGCGGGACACCTAAAACTCCTCCCCGCCGTTTTCACCTCGTGACTATACAGCGCCGGCATCCTAAAGCCGCGGTTAGTGTGCGAATACATCCTACAAACAACAAACAGTCTGCAGATACTTTCTGAGACGTGTTTCTTCTTTGTATGGCGGCCCTGGCACATTACACCTAAACCTGCATGCAGACATGTCCAAAGCTTTTATATATATATATATATATATATATATATATATATATATATATATATATATATGCAGGAAAGATACTTAGAACATCCTCGACGTGGGTTCACAGATAATTCTGGCACCACGTTTGCTGTGAACACTGTGTCTGCTGTACCCTGTATGAGCCGAGTGACTAGGACTTAAAAAAATAATAAAAAGGTATTAAAAAAAAATAGTTAAAAGTAAATTCTAGAATATTGTTATCTCGTGAATTTGAATATCAGGTTAGCTTTCTCTGAAAATGTAACTGAGCGGGCCAGAAAACACGAAAAACATCCGACTGGTCGTCACGTTATAAAAGAATGTTTCGGCCGCCAAGCACGTGTCGCCCGTGTGGGCAGCGCGTGTACTTGCGAGCTTGCCAGGTGTATTATTTTCCCGCACTGACACCAGTCGTGACGGCGGGCACCGACGTTTTTGAAAATAGCGAGAGCGCGCGTGTGCAGCTTTGACAAGCGCCGAAGATGCGCGAAAGTGGAGATTCCGAAATCCCCTTTTATGACGTAACGCTCCTCGAAGGAGGGGCTTTGGCGGTACACTGGAAATGATTTTCTGGATCCTCCGTGCACGAAATATTAATAAAAAATATGATCTCAATGTTCGTGATCCTAGAGGACAAATGAAGACAATTCAAGTTCATTTACTCAAATAGAGAATTGTTTCAGCTTCCCTTTAAGGGTCTCCTATTTATAACCTCGTTACACGAGCAAACTTAACCGCATCTACGCTGAAAAACAGTTACCACACTATACTTGCGGACGTCATTCCGCAACTCTTCAGTCAGGGCATAACGTTTATCAATACTATGGTCGCACGTGCGCTTCAGCATCTTGAGCGCTCATGAAAGCTGCGCAGGCGCACTCCACACTTCTGGAAAAGCTGTTCGAGAGTTTAGTGTGCTAGCAGCAGTGCAAGGCGGCTTAACTGTGCTTAAGGGTGCTCGTGTGACATGGAGGTTAGTGTCTCTAGTGCGGGCCGCGTAGCCCCTTATTTTCTGACACCCGTGCGTTGCAGCGAAGCGCATCTGCCTGGAGCCGTTCGTGAGCTGCGCCGACCAGAGTACCTGCGTGCTCAAGAAGAAGCTGTGCGACGGCAAGTTCGACTGCAAGGACCGCTCGGACGAGGGAGACTGCACCCGGTGCATGCCGCCCCTCCTCAAGTGCACGACGGGAAAGCGCTGCATAGGGGAAGCCGCGGTGTGTAACGGCGTCGCGGACTGCGAGGACAACTCGGACGAGGAGAACTGCCGTAAGCCTGTACATTTTTTTTTGACAGCCGTTATCAGGGAGTTTTAATAGATCCATTCGATACCTCCGATAACGATACGTGATGACAAAACGATTAACGGGCAAAGATCTCGGCGGACTATCCATTATCGTTGTCTGAGTTATCGAGACGATCGACTAATTGTCCCCATTGCCAGTAATTCATACACACCCCACAACACCTCCTAACACGTTCCCAAAGATGCGCTCAACACCCCCCTCCCCTTTCCCCATAAAACATCAAAGATAACTCCCCGCCTGTCCCACCTCCTTCAAATAAAAAAAAGATGCTCTACAAAGTACGAACACCCATGATCTACACTAGGGTGCCTCAATGTCCTTCTGTTTAGGGCGATACCACCCTTTGTAGTACCCGATGCCAACAGCACGCGCTCACGGGTAAAATACAAAGGAATGGACGAAATAAAATGTCGTCATAGCACAGGTAGTGCCACAAACGCGTGCAGGGACACGCTGTTTCACGCGCTTCTGAGCAAAAAATAAAAATAGAAGTGTGGGAAAAAATGGCCAGATGTCTCCACCCTAAGCAAAGCCCACATGAAGGCACCCTAATTTACACTTTCAGAGAGCTCCCAGATATTCCTTTCTCACCCCCAGAATTACAATCCTAAATCAACCGATTTGGCGGGGTTTTGCAGCGGATCCAGCGGCATAACACTTTTACGCCACAGTGTTACGAGACGGCATGTCACGCAATGTCACAATTTCCCCGCTAAGTCTAGCGGGAGTTTAGTGTGACGTTATATCAATTTGTCACGTAACCTCGCAGTGTAACGTCTCCTCGCATTGTCCCGTAACTTCACAGTGGGACATTCACACTGTCCGCTAAATTTAAGCACTACAGTGTGACCGCGTGCAGGGAGCGTGCAACGCCCTGCACACGGTCACAGTTTATTCGCAAAGTCTATCGCCGAAGTTTATACGCAAAACACGGCAATAAAGTGTTTTTTTTTTTTTTTTTTGTTCTTGCTTTAAATGTAAAATTGCATTTTAGTGTAAGGTAACTGAGAGTTCGTGACCATGTGGTTGCTTGCCTGGTAAAACGGTAGGAGTTAGAAGACTTGACCGAATGGCACCTACCTGAGCGTGTTGACACTTGTCGCCTGTCACCAGAGTATGGGTGGCCTTATCCCAGGCTGTTGATGCGTAAGTCCAGGTAACGAAAAGTAAACAGTTAGATTTGTTTTGGCCTCACAATTCATGGCAGCTCTTATTCATATTGTTTTCTTTGAAGTGTCATCTAGCCAGAGACACGCTAGCATATTTACTGGCACTTTCGTAACGCAGTATCGTTTTCACAACAGGACGTCGGCAATCCCTCCTGGCCGGAAAGGAAGGGACGATGGGTAAGAGATAGTTGTTCGCTTCGGCTTTTTAAGATATCAGAACCAAAAGTAAAAGAACAAATCAGTTGTCCACTTAACAGGATCTCAGCTCGAGACAGAGGTGTTGTAGAAAAATTGCAACACCGGAGAGTCACGAACAAGGGAGACAATTAAAAATCATATGTTCCGCTAACCCTTAAAAAAAAAAAAAGAAAGAATATCTCGCTGAACTTTCGACAGACTTTAGGAAATACGACGAGACCATGTTTGAGATCCTAGAGCTTTATGATTGTCGAGTGTATTTCTTTATATTCCAATCCTGAAAACGGCTGTCGGTTGAAATGTTGCCTTCTTTTTTAGTTCTGTTACGACTGATTCCTCGCCAGTGCTGGTATCGACTTGGGGGAGAGGCTTTTGAGATCGACGGGATACCTTCTTTAGAAACATTAAAAAGATCAATACACGTCGCAGGCTGAGTTTGAGAACTGCACAAGGCTCTCAAACTCAGCCTGCGACGTGTATTGATCTTTTTTTTTTTGTGTCATGCATTTTTTTTAACTCGGTTTCGAGTCTTTACAATGTAAAAAAAAGCTACTGCTACTTATATCAGGGTTCATCGATTTCTATAACTTGACAACCCCACCAATGCCTTCCCAAGTAACGTGTTCTTCTTACTTAGTGGGTGTCAGGGATACGATTTGAATGAGTTCATTACAAAGAGATCATACACAGAATAGGTGAAACTCCTTGGAGTCTATTAGTTCGTGGCGCAGGCGGCCGATGGAATGTTTCGTCCGACGGCGCCTAGACAGCGCCTAGTGGTTTATTCTGTTTCCTTAAAAGCACCACTCTCATAACGCCCGGAACATCTATTTGACGCAATTTCGTTACGTGTGCGCCTTCTGCCAGCGCGCTGAAAGGATTCTCGTAAACAATAAAATAGCTTATCTACCCCATTCCGGGTAAATATTAGTCACGTGAGCGCCCTCCGCCAATGAGAGAGGGCCGGGTCGGGGAGAACGAGGACGTTACCCTGCTCAGCCCCACAGTATATATGTACTACATACTCTAACGGCGATCGCTACTGCTAGTATGGTGCCTGGAACGCGTCTTCCACTGGTGCGCTTACCGCGTCTTTAAAAAAGTGGTCTCTGGATTTGTGCCCGATGAAGTCATAAAAAGGCCATGATGTCGCAGGCCGCGACCCTGGTGGTGTCACAGCAGCGTACGGTGGATGCGACAGACGCCTGTTATGCTGCAGGTCGCTCTCCCGCTTGACATTCCACTGAAGCTCCGGCAGCCGGGAGTTGTTTGGGACGCCGCGTCGACAGCGACGCTCGCGTTCGATTGAGTACTTTTTTGCCGGAACTCGTATGCCCAGTCACCAGGATCGCGACATCCGGAGGCGTGACACTACGGCTTTTGTGATGTAGTTTGTTAAAAATTCGGGACCGCTTTCGATGCACGGATAAAATAAGATGCTAGGGACATCAGTCGGAAACGCGTTTCAGGCACCTTACACTCTCAAAAAAAGAAAAAAAAAGAAAGAAAAGGGGGTGTAGTCTTACACTTTTTGTCAGATATAATACACCTCAAAACTTCAATTTGACGTACAGCGCACCGGCGTTGAACCGACGGCAGCGACTTTCACGAGCGGCTTGATAGCTGAAAGGTACAACTTATTCAAATAGCTATATGTATACGCGTTATAGACTACAAAACATATAACCGGGCATTTCTTGGCCCCACTGCAAAAACCTCAGCGTTTTTTTTTCTGCAGTCATTAATACCTACATCAGCTGTTTGGTAAGTCATATGACACAGTTCTCAAGCCCCTCGTAAAAGTTGTGGCTGTCAGTTCGACGTGAGTGCGTTTTACGCCGAACTGAAGTTTTGGGGGCGTATAATATGTTACAAGGGGTGCAAGACTACACCATTTTTGTTCCGAACAGAAGAGGCAGAGGACTGCAGAAGCCGCGAGTTCGCGTGCAAGACGACGGGCGAATGCATACCCATGCGATGGCTCTGCGACGGCAGCGAGGACTGCGAAGACGGGTCGGACGAAGAAATGTGCCGTGAGTCCAACGTCCTGTACGACATTGCGGCTATATGGGGGGTGGCAGGACAAGAACGGCGGTGGAGGAGCTCTAGTTGTCCCGCTTCCAGCGCGGGCACCCTACCTTCGATAACGTTTGAGCGCCTCGTGGTCCTCGAGCGTGCATGCAGTGGCTCAAGGCATAGCTTCCTAACTACTAACAAAACCTGGCAGATCGCCATGAGAAGCGGCCACCGAAATGGAAAAAGTGGAGCGGCAGACAACGGATAAGAGGAGAGCCACGTGACTGGCGCCCCGCTGCGGCGAAACGCCAAAGCACACTTTTCCCGAGCAAACAAGTGTGTTTCGGGTCCTCGTCACTCCAAAAGCTGTGCGCTGACGTCCCGGTTCCTTGAGAAATAACTCTTTGATGCTCTGTGCTACCAGATCCTCGCGATCTAAATCTGCGACCGGGCACTCTATGGCTCCGTTGTCGACCTGCCAGGTTTCATGAGTACAGACAAGGCTATGAAAAGTCACACTATTTCCCGAAACGATGGTTTGAGGATGTCTCGGTAATAAACGCGCGCACTCACAACGAGTGACGTCGGCGCGGGTCTCACGCTCAAAATGCCTGTCACGGTCGCTCGTGTGTTCGTCTAACGTGATCATATTTTCCTACCAAAAGCTCTGGAGCAATAGTATTGAAGAAGTGATGCAACGCTTTTTGTACTTTAAGTACATATCACCTAGAATTAACGTGAATAAGCAGCGCACTGCTCACGGAGGAAGAGAAGGGGCAGGTAGAACAAAGGAGCGCTCTTTTTCTCTCCCTGTCTTTCCTCTTCCTCCATTTCCTGTGCGCTGTTTTATCAGCTTGAAGTACCAACTAGCTCAAATTGCTACTTTACTACAGCTTAAACTTAGAATTAAAGTTAGACGCCACAAACAACGAGGACACAAGCGTCTAACTTTAAGAATAAACAACCAACTATCCCATATCGCAGTCTTAATTTAGTATTTGTCCTTAACATTACTTTCTTTTTACTCCACGCAATGGCAGTAGCATAAAAAATATACAGCAAAACAAGCAGCGTTCACCCTCTCAACTCGCAGCAAAAACAAGTAGCCACGTGACCTGGAGCCGAATATAGGCTGCTAATGTTTGTCATAGCCACGTGCTGGGGTTGGTAAAGCACAGGGCACCCGCTGAGTTCCATACATTGTTAATGTTGGGCTAGTCTCGTCATGACAGCGGTTGCATTCCGAATGCATGTCCTACCCGAATGCATGTCCGGACATGGATTGTAACAAGCCCAAATCTAATGCTCGCCCAAATGGTTTTGTCCAATGCATAAGCCGTATTTCAATATCGTCTCCGCGGGGATTGCAATGCTTGATGACGAAGTCATGGGGATCGAATTGTTGACGACGCCAGCAATGCGATGCCCACAACTAAATCATGAAGTTGCGCTAAAGAGTCTGAAGTAAATCGTCAGCTGTTACCCTTTAAATTATGCGGCGACAAAGAAGCTCCATGGTCAGTGGCGTTGCCCGCTAGTCAGACTTTGGTTCCACAAGTGCCAGTAAGCTTGAGTGAAGTGAGAAACATTCGTAACTAATATCATTGCACGTCCCTTCAAAGAGCTATTCGATCCTTCGTGCCCTACAATTCACAATCCAGATCGCGTGACTTCAAAGGTCGATCACTTGTCCCAAGTATAACAACGTGCGCCTCTCCTCGTCTTTCTCACAGCCAGTGCGCATCACAGCCGACTGACTGGCTTCCGCCCACGCAGTAAGATCATACTCACGGGTTTACGCCTTATCTCCATACACACACTGTCTTCTTCGTTGTGCGATCTAGTGAACATAATGCGCGAGAGGGTGGAAAGATAAGTAGTGCGATTTAATAATGCCCGTATAAAACAGGCGTGCACGTTATTTTAACTCCATAATCAATGACAATTTAAGAAATGCAGGGCGTAATTAAAAAATACTTCATACTTCGTAATTCGTACTTGAGCGTTCTTATTTGCTATGGAACGATCGTAGGACGCCGGGAACTCATCCCATCTTTAGTTTCCTTAGATGTTAGTCACCGCAGTTGCGTATCTAGCCTTATTAAGCTTGCCGCTTATCCCTACCTTACAGAAGGTCGTCAACCCCGGAATCGATATTTCATCATTGGTGAGCTAACCACTGCTTTTTGAGACTTCGTCTGTTACATACTTTCGCATTTATTAGTTCAAATTCTTGCTTCTTCTTTGCTTCGTCAGCTCAGTGATTTAACTGATAATTACTTTTGCCGGCCTTTGGGACTTTCTGGCTTTTTGTTTTTGTCGACCAAACTTTACAACACAGGGCTTGACATGTCTGCTCGTGTTACTCTGCCTAAAAATCATTTACTTGTTAAGATAAAAAGAAGTGAGATCAACAGAGGGTCTTAATGCTCTTGTTGAACACATATGCGCGACTACATAGTTTGCGGTACTCCCGCAAACTAGAAGCTCATGCTATAGCATGGCGTACGGGCACACGCAGGTAGTAGTACGTGTTCGCGCGTAAACCAGTGTCATATTCTATGTTAACAGCAAGGTATCGTTTTAGGCCTATATTTCTTTTGTAAACTGTTCAATAGTCGATATTCCTGCTCAATTAAATAGAAGCTCCATTCCTCACTTTTTTTTTTTTTTTTCAGACAAGGACGGAAACCGCGTCCCCCTCCGTGGTGGCAGCGCCCGAAAACACTGTGAGTTGAAGAATCACTTTTTTTTGTAGGAACGAATTTGTCAGCCAGAAGAAAACATTCCCGTACACGTTAAAAAAAAAAGTTATCGATTACAATTATAATTACTCTTGGTTATAACAATATTCATTTATATAACTTGATTGCCTGACAGAAAAAATAAATGGTCCTTACTTTCCAGATTGCTTCAGAATTCCAAATCGACCATTGTTTCTCCGGTTCGGAAACGGGCCTTTCGTATGGTCCATTATTGAATTAGAAACGCGGAATTACAAACTACTCATTTTCTAAATACACTACTTTTGGTAGGCCATTCTCCCATCGGGGACGTGGTTCGAGGATTTAGGAAGAGGATATAAAAAATAGTAAGGGTTACAAGTAATTTCAGTACTTCCAAACGTAACCAGATTACTATTGGAATTTCATCCTCATAAATGTAATTAAATGATTACAAAACTGCTCCAGTATGTAATTGATTACAAGTCATTTAATTACTTGATGTACGACACCCATACAGGTCTGTAAGAAACAGAAGGAAGCCGGCTCTGCTCGCGCTTATTGGAGACGTGCACGATCGAAAGTGTCGCTGTGGTCGGCTTTCCACGATTGGCCCAATGCTGACTATGACGTCAGCAGAGGCTTTCTTATTGACGGAAATAAGAGTAATGTAAGAACTTCAATTTTGATGGTGTTCGCAGTGATTTCAAGCTTCCACCATGCTTATTACAAACACCAACGAACTTGTTGCTCGCTAGGTAATGACGTCACGAGAGGGAACCATAGGAGGGCGCCACCAAAACATCTCGGCGTTGCTGGACGCCATATTTTAGGACAATGTTTGGAGCGCATGCTCGGAACGAGCTCACATTATTAGGGTGCTAAGACCGGTAATCTCGATGGTGCCGAATGCACGTTGCGAAAGAAGTGCGGAAGCTCGCCGTCAGCACGCGCTCAGCAGTAACGCACACAGCTATTAGCGGAGAGATGTTTCGGTGGCGCCCTCGTTCGGTTACCTTTCGTGACGTCAATACCTTGTGAACAACGAGTTCCATGGTGTTTGTAATGGGCATGGTGGAAGCCTGAAATCATAGCGCTCTCAAAGCAACACTGCCGACACCGTCAAAATTGAAGTTCTTACATTACTCTTATTCCCGTCGTTGAGACATCCTTTCCTGACGTCATAGCCAGCATTCGGCCACTTGTGGTGGGCCGACCACAGCGACGCTTTCGATCGCTCACGTCGCCAATGGCCGCCAGTGGATACTCCCTATATGAAACGCAACCGCTGTCGGACCTTTTTGAGGAAGTCCAGAGAATGATGTGTCGTGACCGCGTCAGGGAATACGCCTATTCCTAAATATACCCAAGCACCAAGAAGCATGCAGGGAACGTATACAGGCGCTGCGCGTGCTGGCGTCGGCCGTAGCATTTTAGAGCGCAGTTATTAGGCGCACATTTTTGGGCTGAGCGGCGTCGGCGGCGGCGTCGGCATAACCGCGTGACGTCAAGAGAGTCACGAGTGAGGTCACGAGGGTCACCAGTGACGTCAGGAAAGTCACCAGGGACGTTACGAGGGCCACGAGTGACGTCACGAGGGTGACGAGTGACGTCACAAGGGTCGCGAGGTAAGTCACAAGGGTCGCGAGGGAAGTCATTCCGTGAAATCACACGGACCTACCCTCCCCTCCCCTCCTCCTCCTCCTCAAGAGCTGCGCTCTAGTTCGGCATTACAAAGAATTGAAAACGTCTTTTTTTAAAGCGAGGGCATTAACTGTCCCATGGAGCGAAACCGGCGTTCTCTACAAGCGGCTGTGGCAGCGAAACCGCAGCTAAATTCCTATTAGCCAAAAGCACAGCAACGCAGATGCATCGTCACGGAAGCGCCGTGGAGCCGGCGGGGTTGGCCGCGCCTGCCCAGAGGGGGAGCGTGGTATATATTCGTCACCGTCGGAGCACCGTGTGCAAAAGGAAGACGTGGCGCGCTGCTTGTAGGAATACGCAGCGTGTAGGAATGCCCCTTCGCATTCCTACTAGTAAGCAGTCTTAAGTTTCTTTAGCGCACGCTATAGTTTCCTTGAAACAAAAATCTAAAACAAGTGGCCGTTCGCACGTGCGTCAGCAAGCGCCTTTTTGTTATGATTTCTTTCAAATCTTTAGTACGGGTAAGGCGAGCGAGCACAGCACGTCTAACTACGTTCCCTGAACGCGTCTTGATGATCGGGTAATTTAGCAATCGGTCTATTATGTTCTGAATATCCACCGACTTTTAGCCATCATACTCTTTTCTCGTGCCCTCTCTCGCTTTTCCTCCTTCTTCAACAGCCCTTTGGTTAGAAGGCCGTAGTGCTGGAGGAATTCTACGTCACATAGTGGAGGTTAGAGCGGGTCACAAATTGGAAAGGAACGCTGCGCTGTGTTAGCCTTTGACAGGGACTCATGTTCATTCGGTGGAGAACACGACAAGTTTCAGGCGGAAGCTGATACAGCACCCGCGTCCAAACTTTGCCCCGCGCTGGCCTCCACAAAGAGACGACGGTCTGAAGTAGTAAAGCGTTACGGCAACTTCGTTATATTTTGGGTAGCTTTCAACAGTATCGGCTTCCTTTTTTGAAATGGAAAACTGCAACTGCTTACTGTAGTTTGCTTGCTTTTCCTGAAGTAAAAATGCAAGTAACGACGTTGCTTTTTGTCGTTACCTTGCATATTTTTTCGGCACTTAAGATATCATTGAACGACTACGATCTAGCCATTTTTTGGACTTTCAAAAAGATGTGTTTCGATATTTTGAGTGGCAAATTGCTCCGTCCTAACTAGCGAATACGTAGTTCCGAACGAGACACGGCCCGGCTTTAGTCACGTGGGTATGTAATGCGAAGAACCTGCATGGTTATCTCGAAGCACTTGTTAAAAAAAAAAGAGTAACTAAAACTCTAACACAGTTCTTTTTTTTTAAGAATCTGTAACTGTAACGAGTTATTTTCATTGTGGTAACTCTGACGGTGGCTTCATTCCTTTTTTTTTCTAGGTATAACTGTTACCGGAACGAATTACTTTTAAAAGTAACTTACACAAGGTTGGGTGACGTGGAATTCCATCACTACGGCGTCGTAACCCAGAAGCTGTTGCGCCCCTTTTCCTCTTCCCTATTTGCATCTTCGGCAGTTCTAGTACTTGGGAAATATAAATGGCGCGAAGGATGGACAAGAACAGGAACACGATGACGGGACTAACGCTAAAGAGGCATTCACACGGGAGAGAAATCCCTTTCTTCTCTCCCCGGGATCCGCATCACGCGGTAACAACGTTACACCTTTGAGCGGAGCCCGATGACGGGGACATCGCAGTGGGATGGGGGAGCTTTTCCTCGGCCTGTGCTATCAGTGTCCACCTTTGTATGGGCCCTCTTCGCAGTTGGTGACATTTTGTTCGCGTGTCTGACAGCTTTACAAATGTTGCTCAGCGGGACACCGGCGGTGGCATCGTGATCGCTTAACTTGTTGTGGGTAGCGCCGCTGCGCATGTCGTCTGAAGCACCCGAAGGAGTCTTCGATATTCATCGACGCCGTCCTCAAGCCGCTCCTGCTTCAAATGGTTTCGGATTTCACGTTGGTTTTCATGCACCCATTCGCAAAACATCTTTTTTTATTATTTTTTATCAGAAAGCAGTTTGTCGCTTTTTGCATTTAACAACGCTGCTGCCATAATCGCGTATCACCATTTCATGTACGCCTCAATTTTTATACCTTGGCTAGCGCGCACCGAGCCGTTGTCGAGAGTGCGCCCGCTAGATGCGTCTGATAACACTGATATCCCTCTCGGCTTTCTGCCGTTTCCGTTCATCAGTGACGTCACGCACACCCCTCCGCGAAAAGAATTCCCCCTGTGAAAACACCTCAACAAACAAACTGTTGTGGGGGACTAAAAAGAAAAAAAAAACTTTCCACGCTATTTTAGTAGAGTTTTTTGCCTTCCTCTTCGAGGCTCCAGAGAACAGACTTGCTTGCTTAACAACTTTCTTTGCCAATTAATTCTCCCTCGCTAACATCGCAGTTTAGGAGAGGAGGAAATTAAAGCGATTTTCTGCTGTCCGGAAAGAAAAACAGCAACGTACTTCAGCGTGGTTTAGAAATTATGAAACCGGTTTATTTGTTTATGTTTTTGCTTAATTTGTTTACATCAAATACTGCCAATTGTCGTGGATTATTGCAGAAGGGGATTCAATAACATTTACAAAGATACACAACATAATAACTTATATAGAGTCAATAATTCTAATTACTCTGCCACTGTACAGAGAAAACAAGAACTCAACTACTCGTCAGAAACCAATGCAACAATTTTTCTTCGAATGCTTCGACAGAAGAGACATCAACGAAGACACTCGGTGGTAATCTATTTCAGTCTTCGATGGTCTTCGCAAGAAAAGAATACTTACAAATATCAATATTGGCGAAATATGGGTCAACTGGTAATTCACTGTTGAAACGTCTAGATCACCTTCCGGAGGAGGTGGTCTTATATGAGTTTGCGTGCCAACATTAGGGTGATTAAAATACAAGAGATAAAAAAATTTCAGTTGCGCAGTTTGACGCCTTGACGCTGAAAGGTCTTCTCTCATCAGTGCCGAAACAGACTCGTGCCAACAGTTTGTAGAAAAAGTAGACCTGGCTGCAAGCCTAAGTATTCGCTTTACCTTGATAATTTGAAGTTGTGTATGGCGTTCCCATATTATTAACGCGTACTCCAGTGTTTGACACAGTAATGCTTTATGAACATTAATCCTGACATCGGAATTCGTTGCCCTTAAAGTTCTCCTCGTGAAACCAAGTTTTCTAGAAGCATATTTACATACATTTTGAATATGCGCATTCCAGCTGATATCACAACATATTGTGACACCAAGATACTTAATAGTCTTGAAAATATGCGAGGCTATTTCGTTAATTTCCTACGAAAACATCATCGGACACTTCTTTTTGGTTACACTTAAGACAGTACTCTTAACAAGATGGGTTAACATATCCCACCTTTCGCACTAGCGAAATATAGTTTATAAGGACTGGTTCAAAAAGGCCTGGTCGTCAACTGCTTCAACGGGGATGTAAACGAAACAGTCATCAGCAAACAAACGCACTTTATGGCTGAATTGATATCTGTAGCGATATCGTTACCGTAGACTAAGAATAAAACTGACCCCAAAACATAACCTTGGGGTACGCCAGACAAGACCAGTAAAACAGATATGACGCGTGTCCGTCAATTTCAACATATCGCGTCCTATCAGAAAAGTACGATTTGATCCAAAGAACCAAGTTCTTATCAACACTGAGAATCAGTAATTTTTCAAGTAACTTGGCATGCGTGACTCTGTCAAACGCTTTAGATAAGTCGATAGATACAACCCCGACCTGACCACGAATGTTTAGCACTTTCCCAAATTGATTGATTGGTTGATTCAAATAACTGCATAACAGTTAAACGCTTCCTGCGAAAGCCGCGTTGTTTATCGCCGTGTTGTTTTTAGCTATTTGAAAAGAAAACATATGATGTCGTACTTTCTCTACGAATGAACACGTTTATGGGTGGTTGAATGAATTACACGTTAGTCTACTGCCATTCCAGATAAGAATTATCCGGTACTGATTGGCGGACACACCGTCGCAAGTTCGGGTGAGCCACCGGGTGATGCCTCGCGAATTCGGATACGGTAACTGTCTGGTCGTCCCGTTACTGTAACAGCGATCATCGTCTAAATTTCAGAAAATCCGGTCGAACAGGCGGATCTGAAGGACTACGATGACGGTACGACTTTTTTTTTTATTGAGGCAGAATATATTTAGTTTATTCTGTTTAATGTTTTATTCCTTGTATCTATTTACTGGTTACAGTGGACGACTACAAATTTTATGACGACGAAGCGGGTGGTGAGTGTATAAACGTTCATAGATGTGAACTGGCAGCCCCTTCAAAAATAATTTCAACAACTTTCTCTATAATATATACTTTTGCGACGTTATGTCTGAATACCTGGAATTGTCTGAAATTGTATTTCCATTAAAGCAAAAATAATGAGACATAACTCGACAGTTGATATTGACGCAAATACTTTTCTTTTTCCTGTGACAGACCTACCTCGACGTTAACGTAGAAAAATATACATTTTAACGACATTTCGCCCTTTTTTGACGTTCTCGCGGTCTTTTACTGAAAAACGGAAGGCTAAGTCGACTCATCAGACGAAACGCTTAAGTAAAAATAAAAAGTAACGTCCGTTTTTTTTTTTTTTCTTTCTTGCTTTTTCGCAAGGCATTCGCCCATTTTAACGGCAACTCTTCTCAGATCATGTCTGCAACACAGAGCCGGAATGATCTAAGTGGAATTTGAGTATCACTTCGTGAGTCGTAGACTTGATAAACATTGTGGGAACCATTGGGTTCCCTCTATCCCTATCCAGGCCTAGCTTCAAGCAGGCCGTGGGAGTCGTCGTCACCAATGGCGTCGGCCTCCGGGATACAAGGAACCACGAGGCCGAATTCCCCGAGGGGGCCGGCTCTCCCTTGCCCATTTGGGTGAACGCGCCTTCGGCACACCCTTGAGAGCTATGATGGACGCGACTGCTAGTGGCCTCCCCGGGCGCGTCCATTCTCCGAGGCTACATAAGCTGGCCCCGAAGGTGGGCCAGGGGCTCTCGTCGGCGGAGGCCCTGGCTCTACGGAGCTCGGTTTTTCTTTGTGGGCCTCCGACTTCCCGTGAATCTGTCTAATGCGGCAGCGCGGGAAACCGACCGGGTGATACTGGCAATTGAGCCAGCGCCCAGACTTTTCATTGTCTAAGAGCGAAGCGTGTTGGCATTGCGACCAATAAACACGTCTTTATCCGGACCCATGGAACCTTTGTGTTTCTAAGTGGTAACCCCCCCAAAGGGCGAATCCCACAATCTGGCGCCCCAACGTGCGGCTTTCCGTGGACTGCAAAGGCAGCAGCATCCATCTCCTTTCGCTAAGATAGCAAACCAGGTCAATTTCCGGCCAAGGATCAAATAGGTGGACAATGGGAGAGGCGAACGCCCGACACCCGACGCCACTCAACGGCTTAGTGGCCACGTCAGCCACGCACGGACACAATGCAGTGTCTTTTCAGCCGAGCTCGCTTCCAAACGGAGGTGACTAAACGCCCGGAATACGTCCGAGGCATTCCCTTTCGGGACGACGCCAGCCTACTTCGCTGGGGAGGCGCACCTGCCCTTTTCGAGGTCAAGCCCGTTCTCGAACAAAGCACGGTGACGCAACACGAAGCAAGTGCAGCTTTTTGCCTTCGAGACGGCTCGCGGGGCCCACCCAGAGTGGACACTCCGTCAGCGCACAAACTAAAAGCGTATCTCGGAGCGAGAAAATGCGCTGTGCCTGCAACACCGGTCGCAGTCTAGCGAGGTTGCGGAGACCGCCGATGGTGCCCTTCGTCGCCGCGTCGACGGACCAGTAGCCATCAGGTTGACCAAGCGACCCCGGAACAAAGGCCCCCCGGGAAAACTGAGTGAGTCAAAATGATTTCCTTTTTACTCCGTCTTTCCTTCCCGCTATCAAGGGACAGAGGACTGGCGTGAGCATGGTTTTCGGCTACTAGAATTGAGTATGTTCCGTTTACCCGCGATCGACTCCGGCCAAAAGTCAGTGAGCGTCGCACGCAACAATAACGTTAGGAACCTTTGAGGGCCACCTATCAAGTTGCAACCCCGTAAAAGCGACGTAAATGTTGAAAACGCCGCGGGGTCCGGGAGCGGTTCAATCGTGCTACCGGACAGTGCAACAGGTTGAACAGCGTCCCGAGATGATTGCGTGTCCGATTAAGGTGACCGCCATGCGGTCACTGGACGAGATCGTGAACCACGGTACTCGAGGTGTTCGTTGGGAATCGACGGTAGCACCGATGAGTTTTTGACGCTCAGCAGAACGATCCGGGGTGTAAATGTGTGAATAGTTGTAAATATTTTCGCGGACTCTGCGGAGTCGGGCGGTGCGTCCGCCGGGCGGTACGCTCGCCACTAACGTCGCTAAGCAACTCGTATTGTTGCAGACGGGCTTTGGCAGCCGGGCAGCGTACTCGCCGGGTCGAGCAACTCGTGTTGTTGCCGATCGGTGCCGTAAATAGTCTGGTATTGCTATTGGCACGGGGTTTCTTTTTTTATTTGGGATCGGTTTCTGTTCTTGCTGATGCGGATAAACTCGTGCTACGTCGCTTGGCCTCTACGAACACTGCAGTTCACGGTGGCTGTCCTGCGCGGCTGGGAGGTGCATTCGGTGCTCTCCTTTGTTCGCGTTGGCCAGGGCAGCACGCGGCTCAAAGACTTTTCGAAGTTAGGTCGCTGTGCTATACCTGGCCACAGGCATTTATGTTTTAGCCTAAGGTAAAAGCTAACATGTTTGAAAAATAACAATGTTGGCGAGCCTGCCCGATAGCAGCCCTGCATCGTTTCAATATCAAGAAAGGACGGGGTGGCGCATTTGACATTTCATTGCGCCCGCAAATCGAAGCGATTAGGCATCGTTAGCAAAAGCAGCCACAAAGAACTTTGCCTAGTCGATCAGTCACCAACAAATTCATTGTCCGGGGTGACGCGAGTCAGCTTGGTATGTGGACATCCGTGTTCACATTAAGCGGAGTCGTGGAACTATTTTCACAATAACTTCGCAAGCCGAGCCAGTGCGATGCACGTGACTCACGGCAGAAAAGACACCTTTGTCTCTGCCTTTTTCTTTTTTTTTTATCTCTGGGTCCTTGAGCACCCAGGGATTGGTCGAGTGTCCTCAGTTGGACGGCTCGACCTTGCTCGGAATTTCCGAAGCTTCTTCTTGGGGAACGAAACGGGAGAGGGGGGCAGAGCGCAGGCGGCATTCCAGTTCCCGGCGGTTCCTGGGTCATGGTTCCACACCGAAGCGGCATTGACGCCAGGGAGCGTCATCGTCGCCGTCGCCGGCCTGCCTGTCCAGATCCGGCTCCTCGGCTGCTGGCCAAGATGGCGGCAGCCACCCTCCCCCTGCCTGGACTCGTCTCCAGGCCAGCAACACGTGGCATCTCGTCGCAGACCCAAGCTGTGGACCCGTGCCGACAGCAAGCAGCTCGCATCCCGTCACGGACCCGGTGACAGTGCCCGTGCCACATGGTGCGTCCTCAAGGAGAGACGCCCAACCGCCGTACTTTCCGCGGTTCCGCGAACATTTCATCGGGGAGTGACCGGGCCGTTCCTTTCTGCCCCCGGCCGGGCCCCTACTTGGACCCTTCGACGCTGCTCCGGTAAGCCTGCCACGAAGCGTGGGCTGAAGAGTTCGGCTGCACCCGGGGTCCACTGTCAAGCAGCGAGCTAGAGTTTTCAGCATGTACCGCGCTGATCGTTTTTTTTTTATTTCTTTGTTTTTCTTCGCGGCATGCTCTTTCGCTCTAGCGTTTCGTTTTTTTTTATTTTGTTTTTGAGAGCCGGTAGGCCATTTTATTTTTAGGCCTACCTTAGCCTTGAGAAGGGGGGAGTGTGGGAACCATTGGGTTCCCTCTATCCCTATCCAGGCCTAGCTTCAAGCAGGCCGTGGGAGTCGTCGTCACCAATGGCGTCGGCCTCCCGGATACAAGGAACCACGAGGCCGAATTCCCCGAAGGGGCCG